GTTTTTATTCCACTAAAGGACGGAGAGCAATAAAAACCACTACGGAAACGTATAGTGTCTCGTCCACACTGGTGTGGCCGTTACGTACCGTTTTCGTATTGTTTTTATTCCACTAAAGGACGGAGAGCAATAAAAACCACTACGGAAACTTGTAGTGTCTCGTCCACACTGTTGCGTTTATGTAGCGTTTTAGAATTAGTTTTATTCAGCAGAGCACGGAGAGCAATAAAAACCGCTACGGAAACGTATCGTGTCTCGTCCACACTGTTGCGTTTATGTAGCGTTTTCATATTACTTTTATTCACTAAAGGACGGAGAGCAATAAAAACCGCTACGGAAACTCACAAGGTCTCGTCAACTCTGTTGCGTTTTTGAATTACTTGTCATTGCTGTATGCAGAACACACAAAAAAGCAAGCACTGCGAAAAAACATGCGGAGTCCATATTGGTTCGTCTATGTATTCGTTCTTGTAGCGTTTTTGCGTGGTCTTGCGGCATTCGTTATTGCGAACAGAATGGTTGTGTTTTGCAATACCTTTTATCTCGTTCTCCGAAATCCTTGCGTGCTTCTTGTCACAGGTTTCCATCCTGTCTTGTTTAAATAGTTAAGAATGAGCCACCGATTTAGTGCTATCTCCGGACCACTATCTAGTAAAGCATTAGCTTTAAGTAACTTCCTCAGGGAATGATATAAATAGCAGTTGTACCAGCACCCTACGCCAAATAATAGCTATTTTTATTTCCCTTTTGATTTCTGCGTTCCTTTTCCTAAAATTATCTAATGATTTTTRACATCTGCGGATGTCAATGCAACCCACTTGAAATACTTTTGATAAGGCGTATTCAAATTGGGACTGCAAGTKGCAATTTCGACTGTGATAGCGTTGGTGACGTTTATCTCTGTTAAAGRGCTACKGGGACGAAAATTGCGAAACATTAGAAAAGGACCTGGAAATCAAATAGACTAATAATTATGAAGCAACAGATTTTAAGAAGATATTGATACAAATCATTAATAATATGGGCAAAAAATGTTGGAGTAAATGACGTTATTTACTCCATCCTTTCGTTCTTCCATCTTTTGAATCAAAATTTCTCTTATGTGGGATAATTCCAAAACTAATATTTTCCTGTAATTGTTGTTTTATAGATATAAATGAATCATATATTTGTATTGCTTGAAGTTTTGAAATAAGGACATTTTCATGCAAGTAGCACTTTAAAACAATCAACAGGACAGGGATCCCGGCACAATAAGGTTACGAGAAKCCTGCCAAAGTTCGCAAGRTATGCCGGTTGCATGGTTGTRCAACTTCAATTGACTTCAAACTGGGCTACAACGGTGAATATTGTGCTACAGTAAATACCCGCRTATAARAACAAGTGGATTARGAACACCYAGGCCTGATTTTAGGAAATAAAGTACCATTTATATAAGAACACATTCAGCCTGAAAAATGAAAGTTGTTCTTATATGGAAAAATAGTCGAAGATYAACACTACTTTTGATTGYACACATAATAKYTCCACCCCAATTATATRTAACAAAATATTAAACAAAATAAACATATGTACTGTTATATTGATTTCATCTCACGTAGCCTATTATGTTCCTTATTTTTAGAAACTTTTTTTAAGAACACTTAAGGACTGATTTTGCAGATTATCAACCGTTTATATAAGAACCAAATCAGCCTGAACCGCCAAAATAGGTGTTCTTATACGCGGGTTTTTACTGTATCTGAAATTCCTTAATTTTCAATCCATATGATCTTGCTATAATGCAATGAAAACGGCTTGGAGAATTTGCATAGTTAAACGCACACATACAATACAGAAAGAAAGAGAAGCTTGTAATATTATCATCCTTTATCATTGCGTACTAGTTTGTGATTGGCTAACGACTAATAATCAATTCTCTTGATTGACAGCTATCATTATTAGATAGCGTGTGAAATTTGCAAAGGGGGTCTCTGCTGCATAAAAGAAGGACTCGTCGGATATTATTCTATTGATAAATGTTATTTWTTATTATTATTTTTAATTTTATATGGGTAACGCTCTTGCAAGAAGGCGTTATTCAATCATTGATAAAAATTATTAAATTAAGAATAAGAATTATTAATTATAACGTTTTTAGATAGGCATTTTGTAATGAATAATAATTGAAAATGGCGTAAGTCAACGCCGTAACGTGGTCTTAACATGTTTTCGCTATTATTTATTTATTTATTATAAAATTATTAAATGAAAAAATGAAAAATATCAAATTTACGGAGCTGTATATCTGACAATGCCCATTTAAAGCTTGTGTTGAGTAAAGTGTTTCACTTCAATGAACTTTGCACGGCTCCCTTTTTGCATAGCTTCGGAGGAAAAAAACTAAAAAAAGGATGTCACGACGTGAAGGATTCGCGGCATGATTCAAGAAAACTCAAGGCTAATCTTGAGTAAAGAAGATAAAAATTAAGAACTTTGTAAATAGATCTAAAAAGCCATATTCGTGCAGTTAGTTTTGGTGTGATTTCAACCGAATATTAAAGCACTTATTCATCTGTATCATAACTTTTTAAATGCACGCAATCCCAAATTACATAAAATAAAGTTATTGCAATGTCATAAATACATCGAAAACGTTTACGAGAAAATATTGTTGAGAGTTGTGCTCTTTAAATCTATTTTGCCTGCATGTAGCAGCTAGCAACTCTTATTTTAATAA